GGCGGTGGACTCGGGATGGCCGATAGACTCGCCGAGGGCGTATGCAACGACCGCCGTGCCTTCTCGTCTCTCAAAGCCTTCTCCCTCGCCCGACGCGCCTTGATCTCCTCCTCGCTCGTCAACCTCTCCTCGTCAATCTCTCCCTGTACAGCGCCATTCAACACATCGCGAACATATGCGAGCGCCTCGAGCGCCTCCCGCTTCTTCTTCGCGAGGGCTAAGGATTTGGTCGTATCCGTACTGCAGGCGCTCTCATCAAGCAGCAGCGTATCAACAATCCAGTTCACGCTCTCGCCGAGGCGACGCTGCGTCGCGCGGACAGTCGCAATCTCACGCTCAATCTCGGAGCGCGGGCGCGGCTCCCACGGCGGCGTCGGTCTGTCATCAACGAGCGGGTACGCGCCATATCCTGCGGATGCGGCGTTCGGCGAGCGTAAAGCATTGAAGTTCGCGGCGATGTCAGGGAGGTTTCTCTGTTGACATTGCATCAATCAGTCAATGTCATCGGGCAGGATACAAATGAGGATGCGGACGAACCTTGAGATCAGAGACGGCGTTGAAGATCGTCTTGTTAATGCCGAGCGCCTCGCCTCGGTCATACAAGTTCTTTGCGATCTCGGGTAAGCCGTACTGTCCTGCACCAGCGCGTCCGACCGTGTGCGCATGGCCTGGCGGTATCCGATGGCCAGCTCCGTGTTCATCCGTAGAGACAGTTTGGCGGCGTCCTTGTCGCCCTCCGCGTGAAGTTCGCTGAGGTGGCTCAGGCACCTCGATAGGAATATTGAGTATATTCCTGTTCTCCACCGTGATGCTAGCGCCCGTTGAAGGTGTCGGGGCCATCTGTAAGGCAAGCGCTTGGCGGAGGAGCAGCGTTATGTGATGGGTGCCAGAGCTGACGGGTGGTGTGGGGTAGCGAAGAAGGTAGGTGAGTTGTTCGCTATAGTCCGCCGGGATGAGGCGGTTGCGTATCCGCAGAAGCATCGCAACAGCGAGCCACAGCGCAATATCCAGACTCGCGTCCACAGCGAACAAGCCGTCCCAAAGCATCATCGCGTCCCGCATCGCGAACTCGCGGGTAAAGAGCAGCCTCAGCCACCGGATACCGAATATCTGCGGCTCGATGCCCTCCGTCTGTAGTCGCCCGTGTAATGCAGGATCCACGCGTCTCAACATCTCATGTTGAATCTGGTTGCACGTCACTATGATGGGCGCCACCTTCGGCTCGCTGACCTGACCGGCGGGCCCCGGCCCCGGCTCGTCCTCGCGCCACTCATACCATCTGGACGTAGAGCGCATGACATGGTCGAAGAGCATCCACGCGTCGGCAGCGATCCATCGACGCTCGCAGAGTTCTTGTAATGCGGAGTCGAATTCGGGGTTAGACTTGGTGGAGATAGGAAGGGAGTCGTAGTCGATGGCGTAGTAGAGAGGCGCGAGTAGCTCGTGCATGCCTTGGCGGTAGCCTATTTGGGGATGCATGGCGGAGTAGAGGTAGAGAATGTTCGATAGTTGTGATTGTACCGCCGGTTCGCGGAAGTATGCGATGTCAGGAAACCTGAGTAACATACAGACATCTGAGCATCTCGAAAGTTGGGACAATACGAGGACATACGTGCGCTCAACATCCTGCTGGATCGTCTTGCGGAGTTCTACCGCCTCAAACCACTCGTTCCACGGATTCTGCAATCGTTATTAGCCTTGGCGCAATACATCACCATATATAAAGTAGCTCACCTCATCGTGCAGGCTGAGCGGGTTATTGCGATCCAGATTGCTTGCACTGCCGTTTCGCGTGGCTGGTGGCGCATCCGTACCAGGGACGATGAAACCGTCCTCATAGCTTCCATCCGGCGCGCGCATCTTCTCCAGCAGTAGCTTAGAGTACTCCGCGCGTCCCGCACGCAGTGCCTCCAGGTAGGCCGAGAGTTGTGGCGGCATGTCCTCCGGTGGTTGTAATGGCTCTGGTGGCGTCAAGAAGATCTGTTTCGGTAATCAGGATACTGAATACAGGTGGGCAGGTGACAGTACACACCTTCCATGCAAGACTTCGACCGGCGACTCCCGGTGCAGCATCGTCGATGTCGAACAATCTCCCACCGAGCGCCGCATCCTTGAGCTTCACGAGGCTCTGGCCGGAATGATATAGTCGTTGATATGCGTCCCTACACTTCCTGCACTGAGTACCGGCACTTCCTAACACAGATGGCGCCACTGATGCGCACCGTATACTGGCGGGACTTGCGCGCGCCGCGACCGGCGCGGGATTAGTGGGTGTATCTGCACGCTCCTGGCTGGCCATGATATCCGAATTCTCGCCGTCTCACAAGACAGCAAAGAGTAATGAACGGTGTCGATCGAGAACGGAAGAGGAAAGACTTGGGAGAGCTGCGGCTCGATCTCAATGAAGAACACAAGCCCTACACCGCCTCGATGCCCACAACCTCGGCCGAGCACGTACAAGCAGTCGTAATCAGTCGATGCGCACAAACGGGGCGCAGGGATGGCGCAGATTAGATTTATGAGATATAGCAGTGCTTGAGATGGCCGCGAACAAGCCGCGACGAGATCAAGGCCGTGGTGGTCGTCGCTCCGTCGGGTGGGCTCAAGGGGAGCTTGGCAAAGTACGTCGTGCGACGCGTTCGGCGTCCGCCGCAGAACGAGCGCAGACGCGCGCCGCGATCTCCGAGCAGGGCCTTGTTCCTGCGCGCACATCCATTGACGTTCCTGTGGGGCTCGCCCATGTCAAATTCGGTGAAGGACACACGACATGACGGATCTGTCAGGCATCGTCTGTCTCGGTGCGGCTGTCACTGGATAAAGGCATCGCAAAGACAAAGCGGGTGTATTGCAAATAACATAGCGGACATCCGACGGTATGGTACAGTCCACATTATACGTAAAGTAAGGCAGGGGAATATGATGGTAATGATACAAGCTGGCGGCCGCAGGCCCAGTGTGATATACTTAGTGTCTATGACGATAGTGTGTTGAGCAGAGCAAATCCATACATAGCGAGTCTCGAGAGCAATCCCAAATATACCACAATGAACAAAATAGGACAGAAGAACGAGCGACTGGAGAAAGCCGCTACCGACGAAGCATGCGCAACTGCATGACGACGCCTTGCATGTCCTCTTCGACCCAACGCTTCCCCTTCACCTCCCTCACCCACTTCCTGCTCAACCGCTTCGACTCGCGATCGAACTTGTCCGCAACAGTTGATACTCGTCGTGATGGCACAGGAGGCTCCGGCGGAGGTTCGAGGATCGCAGGTGCAAGTCTGCGTGCTTCCTCTGCCCATGCGGGGCGCACCTTCTCAGCATGCTTCGCTACGAGCGCAGGCCGCTTGACCTCAGCAGGGGTGGGTGGAGCGAACTCGATGGCGCTCATGGGAGCACGAGCATCGTCTTCGTCGATGTCGAGATGTCCACCACTCGTGTCCTCGTCCGTGAAGCTCTCCACGTCCGACTCGTCCGGGTTCATGATGACAAGCTCTGGAGGAACGCGCTGCGACAGCATCCTCTGAAGCTTCGCCAGGCTCAGCCTCTGTACCTCCTCTCGCGACTTTTTGGGTTCCTCGGCGGACAGCGGTGAACTGATTGGCGTAGCAGGCGACGAGTTGCTGCGCGGACGCGTAGTTGATGGGGGTGGCAAGGGCTTGAAGCTCTTGAGTTCTGTTACGAGAGAGAGCACGGGTGGCGAAGGGCGCCTCGCGGGCGCGGTGTCGTACGCGTTATTGCGAGATGTGATGGACGAGTCGAACGTGCCACGGCGTGGTGTATCAGACTCGCTTCTGCGTGATGTGTCGAAGGTACTCTTGCGAGGGGTAGGGGTGCCAACAATTACAGTAGGCACCCCTGTGGCCGCACGGGAAAGTGATGGTGGCAGCGGACGACGGGGCGGCTCGATGGCGTTGGCGCTCATGCCCCGTGAGAGTGGCGGGCGGTCTGGATTCGCGCCTGGAGGGAACTGTACACGAGGCGCGGCCAGGTCGGGTGTACGGGGTAAGCGACGGACAGAACGCCCGCTAACAGCTGATGCTGGCGAAGGAAGCGCTCCTTGAGCCGAGATCGGCCCCGGCGACGCCGAATGTACGCTGGAGGAAGGCGAGTGGCCTGACAGTGCTGATGGTACTGCAGGGATATCGAACGCAGGAGTGTTGGGCGCTTTCACCTCCGGACGGGGTAAGGGCTGCTGCCTTCGCAAGGAGGTCATTGAGGTCGAGCGTGGCAAGGACGGCAATGGCCGGTATGATCGGTCAGAGTGGACCGAGCTGGTCTTGAGCGATCGCTCCAGGTTGGGATGGAAATGGTGGGCGAGTGATTCCTGAGATGAGCTCGGCGTGTAGGGTGGGAGAGAAGAGGCCGATGATATAGACGAAGTCGATGGCCGAGATGAATGCGAAGGCGAGAACGGCGAATACTTCGGGTCGAATAGCGAAGGGGAGAGTGGCAGCGGCAGCGATGGCGAGCCTGCCACTGGTGCCGTTGGCCATAAATCTGAACTAGGTGTAGAAGCCATGCGTGCGCAGAGTGAGTGTCGTGTGCGTTCAAGGGAGGCAGTACGTCAATGATATTATGGCGAGGGTCAGCGAGATCAACTGCAGCATGCACGAAGCTAAGAAGAAGCAGATATACAAAGTGCAATCTCAACTACTCAAGGGTACGGGAGGACAAGCCAGCGGCGGAGTGGCGGGAAGGGGTGCGGGTGGCCGGAGAAGCACCTTTAAGTACAAGCAGCAGCTTCGCTTGCCGAAGATACCATTTTC